ATGGCCCCAGGTGCCGCTCCCAGCAGGGCTGCCCTCAGCCAGGGCTCGGGGAAACCAGGGGCACCTTTGCCCCTCCCCAGCTTCCCACTGAAGCCAGTTTGTTTGGGCGGCTCCAAACAGCTCCGCGGCCCCAGCAGCGATCCCCGTCCTCAGGGAATTGCAGTGGTGGGGGTGCCTCAGATGGGGACGAGATCTTTTTCCAGCAGGGCCACCTTTGTCATGCAAGCTCTGGAGTGATTTCTCTCAGAATTGCTTTGACAACGTTTTTTTTTTCTTTCTTTCTTTCCTTTCTTTTTCTTTTTTTTCTTTTTTCCTTTTTGCACAAGGGTTTTTATCACCGATGCCCTTTATAATGTTTACCAGACCAAAAATAAAAAATAGTTTAAAAAAGAAAAAAAAAAAAACAAAAAAAACCCACGCCTTTTGGCATCCCTGCCCACAGCAGCCTCCCAGCAGCACTGCCTGCCTCGCTCCGTCTGTGGACAAGGGTCTGTGAAATTGCCACCAATATAATTATAAAGAGCTGTTTTCACATCCTCCTCCTGCCGCCTCGCTGCTAGACTTTGGCCTCGACCTGCATTTCACCCGCCCTTCCCCACACCACCGGGAGCCTGGGGAGCTCCTTATCCGGGCGCCCGCTGCAGCACCCCAAAGCCCCCCGACGCTGCAATCGGTGGGGTAGGGAGCAGGAGAGCCATGCCCTGGGCAAAGCAGGGAGACACGGCGGCCCGGCCCGTGCCGCGGGTTACCTGGGGCGCAGCAGGGCTCGCCGGCCAACCTGTGCGCCGGTGGCTGTAAATCCGGCAGCGCTCACAGCGGCGCCTGCCCTGCCTGCCCTCCCCTCGAAGGAGGAAACGCGCAGGCAAATTAAAATCAGAAGTAACTGTTTTACAGAGAGCCCTGCGCTGCTTTTTGCTGCAATCGAGAGAGCGGGCTGCTTTCCGCCTGGGCGTTCTCTTTTTCCTCATCATTCAGATCTTAGCGGCGTCAGACTGTGGGATGAGCAGCCCAACCTATCCGCGCTGCTGTGGGAGGGGGGCAGGGGCTCGTGGAATCCCCTCACAGACACCCTGGTAGCATTCACTTCATTGGTGCCTGGCGGAAAGTAAAACCAGCCCACGTTATGCACACGTTCGTCTGTTTGGAGAGGAGCTCACCCAGCTGAAATAACACACTTTCAGTGCGTGCATTTCGTTCATTCATATTGCCTGTGGAGTCTGCATGCAGAGAAGCCCCTCGGCTGCCCTCCCTCTTAATTACAGAGCAGGGACAGAAAGCCCTTAATATATTGTCATTTCCCACCTCTGTTTTTGAATTTTTTTTCGTATTGATGATGCAACACTCCCTGCCCTGCAAATCCAATGGGGAAAAGGGCTGCCTGGCCAGGTAGGCTGCACCTGAGCAATGTCCACGTTGCAGCAATCAGGTCTGCAGCTGTTGGGGGGATCCTTACATTTCTTAGAAGGGAAACAGTATTGCGGCGAGAAAAAAATGCCTGCAACACAGTGATGATAATTTCTGTCACTGTTGTTAGTACTGATGTAGTAAGAAAATCAGTGCTAACAGCAGTAGGAGAGGCTCTCTCCCTTTCAGACATCTCTGCTCACTCATCTCCATCCTCCTGAGCCTTCTTGCTGGCTGCATGCACACAGGACAGCAGTTGGGGGGTGCATTCCTGCCTGCAGCGCTGGAAAGCCCTGTTGGACTCTACTGTGTGAAGGGGATCATACATACTTTGGGTGGGGTCTGAACCTTCTGCCTTCCTTCTGGCTGTTTGGTGGGGCACTGAGGGTATGCACAAATGCTGCGGAAGGAGGAAGAGCTGGCTCTGCAAAGAGGGAAACGCATCTTCGGGGTTTTCACTCATGATGCTTTGTGTGCTTGTAGATTGGTTTGTCCCTGGGAGTGAAAGGTGGAACAACTGGGGCTGTGTTCAGGCTGCAAATCAAACCTGGAAATAGATTCAGTTCATATTTTGTATCCATCCCTGTCACATCTCATGGGGTTTTCCTGGGGATTTGCAGCAGCTGACGACCTGCTAGGTGAGCTGCAAGTGAGAGCCCTGTGGGCTGGATTCTCTGGTGGATGGATTAAGGTGCTGCAGCCACCCCTTACCTTCACCCTGCTCTCCAGCTTCAGTGTAACCACGCCTTCACACACAGCACAGCAAGAACTCCTCCACGCCTATCGAAAGGGCTGGAACTGGCAGATGAACACAGAAACCTTCCTGACACAGAAACTCCAACGCGGCCTCATCTGGGAGACTGGCAGACGCCTGTGCATGAACAGAGGGGAAGGGAGGGGGTGAATGAGGCACAGAGGTTGCACAAGCTTCGTTTTCTTAGGAAACAGGGATAAAAATGCCCTCTAAGCATTGACTTCAGACGCTTATTCAAGATAACTGTAGAGATCTGAGCTGTTTGCCCAGGAGGGAAATGGCCTCTAGCTTTTCACAGCCTCCTTCACATGCGAATAAACCCTTTCCTGGCTGAATTGCAAGCCCTTCTCTGGGAGATGATGCATGCTGCTATGCCCAGGCTAGCAAAGGAGGAACAGAGGCACAGGAAATAGGACATCAAAGAATAGCACAGACGCAACACGCCAGGAACCCTCTATTAGCAAACCAAGGTGTTTATTCGAGGAAACCCGAAGTGGAGAGAAACCAGGTGAGCCAGCAAAAAAAAACCAAAAGGCTCTTCTGAGCCAATTTCCCTCAGCACAAACTCAATATCTCATCTCACTCTCTGCTCCAGAGCAGTGTGGCTTGACTCCTTGCAATAAGCTACCACCAGTGGCACCACAAGTCCTGTGAGATGTCTCTGCAATGGCTTGTGGGTGGTTAAGGTTGTATTTGTTGTAGGTAACTCTGAAATCTTCTTTTTTTCCCCTTGCGCTAATCTCCAGCTGAAAGGCTTCCCCAGCAGTATCACTGCAGGGCACTTCAGTCTCCCTCCCTCCAATGCCGTTCCTGCTCTCCATCCCTGCATCATGCCTCTGGCTGTATGCACACTGCCTGTCCACACCATCCAGCTGGAGAGCAGCTTCACACAAAAAGAGAGGGGGACTTTTCCATGTAGTTGCTGCGGGGTTTTAAGCCAGACCTAGTTGCCAGTCCAGCCCACAGCTAGCTTGGTTTTCCAAAAGGTCACCTCCTCAATGAGTTTGAGCATGGAAAGACAACAACTATCCAGAATGGTAGACCACAGCAGCCTGACCCTGGGGAAGGTGAGCACTGCAGCAACCCTTGGCCCTCAGGAGGGATGGGAGGAAAATGGGAACACCTTGAGCCAGAACTCCCCACTGTGAAACCACAGCCTCAACTTTCCCTGTCTGGGGTTTTGGGCCCTGAAGTGATTAATGCCAGGCTCGCACAGAGGCACTTGGCTTCCAGCTGGGCAAGCTGTGCCCCTCCATGGTGCCAAAGGCACTGTGCCTTGGCTCACACCCGCTCTACATCTGGCCCAACCCTGTTCTTGGCACCCGGTGGCCTTGGCTGTGCTACAAGCACTTATGCACGTTTTAATAACAGTAAACATACAAACGTGAGCAAAACTATTATACTAAATTGAAATGCTATCATTTCCACTAATTTTACCTTTCATTTTAATCACATTTGTTCAGCAGACAGATGAAGAAGATTATAACAAGGAAGGATTGGCTTCATGCATTCAGTTTTCCTGTTCTACTCAGGGGATGTGCCCTGGCCAACTTCTCACAGCAAAGGTCTCCACTAGTGTCATCAAAGCTGACTACAGTGCAGCACCTCCATGCTCTACTTGGAAATAGCCGAGCCTGTCTTAGAGGAGCTGAAAATCCTTGTGTTCCCACCTGACAGACAGCATGGCAAATACTTGGACAAAAAGCATAGGAAGGAGTCAGGGATAAGACTGCCTCTCACAATAAACCTCCCATCTGCTGGTGGTAAGGAATTTGTGAGTTGAAAGCAGCAACTCAACACAGAATCATGGAATCAATAGAATGGCTTAGGTTGGAAGGGACCTTAAAGCCCCTTCACCAACTCCCAGCCATGGGCAGGGCTGCCTCCAATTGCTCAGACTGCCCAGGACCCATCCAACCTGGCCTGGAGTGCCTCCAGGGATAGAGGACCCACAGTTACTCTGGGCAGCAGTGCCAGGGCCTCACTGTAAAGAATTTCCCCCTAATATGGAATCTAAATCTCCTCTCTTTTAGTTTAGAGCTCACTGTTAAAGATGCTGAAGAGCACAGGTCCCAAAACAGACTCCTGGGGGACACCACTCATCTCCAGCCTTTACCTGGGCATAAAGCCATTGACCACAACCCTCCTGTGATCATAGAATCATAAAAGAATTAAGCTCCAACCATCCACCTCCCACCAATATTGCCCATTAAAGCATGTCCCTCAGTACCACATCTACCCTTTCCTCAAACACCTCCAGGGATGGTGACTCCATCCACCACCTCCCTGGGCAGCCTGTGCCTATGCCTCACCACTCGTATTTCCTATACTGAACCTGAACTTTCCCTGGTGCAACTTGACGCCATTCCTTCTCATCCTATTGCTGTTACCTGAGAGAAGAGGCCAACTTCCTCTTCAGCACACCCTTTTTTCAGGCAGTTGTAAGAGCAATAAGGTCTCCCCTGAGCCTCCTCTCCTCCAGACTGAACCACCCCAGCTCCCTCAGCTGCTCCCCCTAAGGCTCGTGCTCCAGATCCCTCACAGCTTTATTGCCCTTCTGTGGACACACTCCAGGACTTCAGTGTCTTTCCTGTAGCGAGGGGCCCAGCACAGAACACAGCACTCGAGGCACAGCCTCACCAGATCTGAGTACAGAGGGACGATGCCCTCCCTGCTGCTGCTGGCTGTACTGTTGCCGATACAAGCAAGGATGCCATTGATCTTCTCGGCCCTCCGCTACTCAGGGCTGGCGGCGGCGGTTCGACGCGCTCGGCGCTCGGCAGGGCGGGCTCGTTTCACCCCCCCTTCCCCCGGTCCCGCCTTTCCCCCGCGGCGGGCAGGCGGTTGTGGCGGGCGCTGCTAACGGCTGTTGGCTGTGCGCGTGCCCGGCGATGTCGAGGAGCTCTCGGGCGGTGCTGGTCGTCACCGCGCTCCTCTCCGCCACCACCATCGCGGCCGTGCACGTCCAGCAGCGGCGGGAGCGTGAGGTGAGCGGGAGCGGGGAGGCAGGCCGGCCGGCTGGCCCGGAGCGGTGTGATGCCCTCTCGTCCGTTCGCGTATTTCTACCGCTGTCAGGATGGGGCTCGCAGCCCTTTGCGCCTTCTGTGTGCTGTAGTTGTTGCTTCGTTTGCTAACCGATGGTAGGTGCCTTTGGTTGGGGCACCTGATGAGGCCGCTGCTGTGAGCTTCTCTCTCCCAAAATGCACTTCTCACTCACGGCTTCAAGAGGTGCCCGGCAAAAACCTGCCGGGTGCCTTCCCAGATAGCGGCACAGGTTGCCCAGAGGCTGCGGATGCCTCTCCCTGCAGGCATTCCAGGCCAGGCTGATGGGGCTGTGAGCAGCCTGGTCTAGGGAGAGATGTCCCTGCTCATAGCAGGGGTTGGAACGAGGTGGTCTTAAAGGTCCCTTTCAACACAAACCGTTCTGTGATTATGGGTAGCAGAGACAGAAAAGCGTAAGTAGGAAACAATAGAGTAACTGCAATCTTCTTAAGGCTGTTTACATCTGCTTGGTGACTTAGCTGTCAGTGTGCAAACTGCTCATCAGTGCCGTGTGTCTCATGTATAACAAATGTTCTGGATAAGAGTACAGCCTGCAAATGAAGTGCCCTGCTGTTTCAAGAGCTTGGCGTAAGCAGGCTGTGGATCTTCAGCCAGCCTTACAGTGAGAGTTTACTAGCTTTATTTTTTTAAATAATAATTAAAAAAAATAAAGAGTGAGACATAAGCAAATCAAGATAAAATGGTGGTTTTTCCTTAAATTTATTTTGCCTCCAAATTGTCTCCAAGCAGAATAGCACTCTTGGAGAAATTGCTTGGCTTTGGGTAGAGGCTTTGGGCAGAGATACCCGACTGTTACAGGTTGTGTCCATCCTGCATGGTGTGGGAGCTACCAGTGCACCGCAGGGCATTACGGCTGTAGGAGGTTTGCAGAGGCAGTATGGCACGGTGAGCAGCCCTGCAAGATGGACTGGAGCCCAGATGGGGTTGGTCAAGTTCACGATCGAACAGGCTGTGATAAACCCTGTCCCTTGTGCTTTCAGAGGCTGCACAGTGGTGTCCTCAGAGATCTGGAGCGACAAAATCAGAAAAGGGAAAACATTCGCCTACTGGAAGAGCAGATTGCTTTGACAAAGCAGCTTACAGAAGAAAGAGAGAAGATGCTCATGGAAAAGGGATCCCAGCAGTCCTAGGTGGGACCTGACTTGTCAGGGGTTTGATTCAAGGCACTTGGGATGATTGCATTCTAAGTACTTTCAAGTATTTCAGTAAACAAAGATCAGCTGTGGAAGACTGTTTCTTTCAGACACGTTGTATTCCTGTACCAAAAGCCATAGGGCACACACAAAATATTTCTTCCATCACCAGTACTTGTGGAGACTTGGCACATCCAGTGTGGATGGACTTGTGAATGCGGGGAGGACGGGCTCCTTGTCATGCAAACCCCATCCTGCTGTAGGCCATGAAGGATGGCTAATAACGTCCACATGAGCGGGCTGCTGAGCCGCCATGACGATGAAGCCACAAGGACTTCGACTTCGGAGGGCTTGGAGGAGGGTGAGGTGGAAGGGGAAACCCTCCTGATTGTAGAGTCTGAGGACCAGGCCTCGGTGGATTTATCCCATGACCAGAGTGGGGACTCACTGAACAGTGATGAAGGTGATGCGTCCTGGATGGAGGAGATGTCCTACTACTGCGAGAAGTGCCAGAAGTGGATTCCAGCAAGTAAGAGGGCTGGCTTTGCTGTTTCTTGTAGCCTTTCCCACGTGCAATTGGCATCACCAGGGTTGTGATTTACAAGGTGTCTGTGCTGTCCTGTATGCTCTGTGTGACTTTCGGTTAGCTGTGTTCCAGGGATGGGGTGAAAGTGCTGTCTAGGTGTAGCACAGAGCCCAGCTGCCTCATGCTGCTTGTTCTGTGTGTTGGGCACCTCAGCCCATGAGCTGTGTGGGTGTCGTTAGCTGGTGTTCCCTGCAAGAAGGGGGGCTGTCTGCTCTAATTACTGCCAAACAAGGATAGGACATCAGAAATGCACATGCTGTCCTGAGGCCTGTCACTGGCATGCCAAGGGACTTTGGCCAAGTGAGTTGTCCTCTCAGTCCTCTCAAATAAAGAACTCTTTCTGCAAAGGTCTGTGGAGGAACCCCTTGGATGTGCAGCCACTTCTCTTTTTTATTGTTTTCTTCCCTAGTTAGCTTGCTGCATATGTGCAGCATATGGATAAATCTCAGCACTAATGATTTTCTGATAATGTGAATTCAATTTAGCTTTTGCAGAAGTGTGTCTAGCTTTGGGGGGTGCTTGGAGCAAGCTAGATAACTAGATCCCTTTGCTGTTGCTGCTTGACATAAGGTGTATGCTGCTACCAAAATAGCAGGCTTTACATTAGGAATTCTAAGCAGTTGGTTCTATTATTAGATCCAAAACCTAGGTATTGCTAAGCACTGTTTTTTGTTGTTGTTTTGTTATCTAGTTGTTGTGTTTTTATTATTTCTGTGTTTAGCATTATGGAACTCTTCATTGTGACACCTATTTCACAGCTGTATCAGAGCTGCCCTTATTACCATCCTAGAACTTGCCACGAATCTAGTGTAGAAATCCCTCAAGGCATGGTGTAAGCATTGCTAGTAATGTGGTGGAGCCAGCATAGTACTGTTAAAAGGATGCTGTGCAGACAGTGGGACATATTAGCTTGAAATGTATTAATAATAATAATAAAAAGGAATAGAGTTAAAGGTAGCATGAGATCTCAGGGCACTCAATTTAACACTCAGTTTGCTCTGTTTTACAAAGATAGATGTTCCTCTTGTTGCTGTGGAACAAATCCCCAGAGCAGTAATGAAAGAGGTGGAACACTTTTAGAGGCAGACCTTTCCTGTGTATTTCAGAAGTGCCGTAATCCTCTGTTTCCCTCTCTTCTGATTTTGCTTTCTTTCATCTCTGTTGAGTTTAGGGATCCTGATTTTTTGTCCATTGTTTGCTGTTGAAACAGAATTAGAACATTCAGCTTTTTATGCGTGCTACTTTATATTTGTCTCTACCCCAGTAGATGACATTTATTCAAACTTCTTGAAGGGTTAGCAGATCAGCTGTTTTTTTGTTATTTGTTATCAAGTAGAATGGGGAAAATGGCTATTTATTGCAATATATAGATTATTCTTGGGAAGCAAAAACTAATGAAAAATGTGGAGGAAATCCTTTGGCTGTGTTCAGCTGCGAAGTAGAATGAGACTTTCTAACGCCTGTGCTTTTTTGATAGTCACTGCTGGCTGCTGCAACTGTAAAATGAACCCATACCTTACATTACAGCTTGTGCCAGCACTTGTTGGGTACTGCTTGGGTCTTTGGACTCTAGGAAAAGGCAAAAGTGCTTTTCTGCCTGATGTTGTAGGGAATCCAGATCTTTTTTGCAGCTTTTCTTTGTATGGAAGGACTGAAAGTGTGATCTTTTGCCTATTGATTTTAGGTCAACTGAGAGAACAGCTCAGCTATCTCAAAGGAGATAACTTTTTCAGATTTACTTGCTCAGATTGCTCAGAAGATGGGAAAGAACAATTTGAGCGGCTGAGATTAACTTGGCAACAAGTAAGTACAATGTCTGTGCCAGGAGAACGACCACAGCACTTCAGAGAATTGTTGTTTGTTATGTATGTATTACCTAGAAAAGGAGGATTGGGTACAGATGACAAACATATGAGTGAACTGCAGAAATTAATTAGTAGAGGATTGCCTGCAGATTAGAATTTGAGTATTTGGCAAGTAAGTTGCAAGATAATCACACAAACCACATTCCTCCTCTTTTTCCCTCCTCACTCATGTTGCACGTGAATTTCATGGCTTCAGGCAAATTTGGAAAAGCAAAATGCAACTTGGCTTCTAGGCATGAACAGTTTTTTGTATATACAAGCAAATATAAAACTAGTGAGGTGGCAGCACACAAACAGACAGCTTGCCAGTTCCCTGAATGCAAAGCTCTAACTTGGCTGCTTGCTTACTAACAGTTCTTGCTGGATTCTGCAAGTTCAGTCACTTACACACCTGAGCAGTCAAAGTATTCTGCATTAGACAGCAACCACTGTGTGGATAGGGTGATGCATGTCTTGCTTCCAGTAGGGTGCAGATTTACTTTGAGGGGCACACAGGAAGTGCCAGTTGCTTTTGCATAAATGGATTTGATCAAGTGGTAGCTACTGCTCAGCATTAAGTGATTCCAAATGCTGAGCACTGGGAGGTGTATACAAGATATCTTTCTGCTCTTTGTGACAGAAGTCGTGTGCTGTCTCATAACAGATCATTTCAAACATCAGGTGTAACTTCTGCAGTGCTTTCTGCTGGCGTCCTGTGTAGGGCTGCAGGGTGAAAAAGTCAGTGTTGCCAGCTGTGTCCCTAGGCAGAGAATGGGAGGCGACTGTCCCCATCTATTGTGCCCTTGTGAGGCCCCATCTGGAGTTCTGTGGCCCCAACATGGGAAAGAAGTGCAGCTTTTGGAGCCTTCTCCTCTCGAGAGGAGGGCCACGAAGATGCTCAGAGGGCTGGAGCACCTTTCCTATGGAGACTGGGTGAAGGAACTGAACTCGTTCAATTTGGAGAAGAGAAAGCGGAGAAGAGACCTCATTGTGGCCTTCCAGCATTTGAAGGGAGTTGATAAATGTGTTGGAAATCAACTTTACATGGGTAGATAGTGATAGGAAAAGGGGGAGTGGTTTTAAACTGAAGGAGGGGAGGTTTAGATTAGATGTCAGGGGGAGGTTTTTTCCTGAGAGTTTGGTGAGGTGCTGGAACAGACTGCCCAGAGATGATGTGGATGCCTTGTCCTTGTAGGTGTGGCCTGGGCAACCTGATCTAGTATTTGATTTAGTGGCAGCAGGTTTACATAGTTTAGCCTGTGTTCAGTTTAATATGCAACAGTGAATATCTGGGAAGACTCTGATTACTATGTTTCTGATGAATAAGGTAGTGGGATTGCTTGTCACAATTCTTTTTGTCTTTTGAAAAAGACTTGCACACTGCATTCAGATCCCAGTTGCCATATGACCGATTTATCCCACTGCAGAAGTTTGTGTTTCTTCATAAACCTGCGTAATTAAGCAGCTTTTATTCCCCTAGGGTGGTGAAATCTCTGGGGGGGGGGAAAGGACAGAAGAATGTTCATCTAACAATAGAGAGATGAGAAAAGGCAGCATGAAAGATAGATTGCAGAAATTGCCTGAGAGATATTGCAAAATAAGATATCTATGAGGCTGCAAAGATTTGTGCGCATAGCGTCACACAGTTGGGTGGCAGCTCACCAGGAGAAGCAGAAAAGGTGCACTGGTTTCCACTGCTTTCTGTTCCAGGTTGTCATGCTGGCAATGTACAATCTGTCTCTGGAAGGAACTGGCCGTCAGGGGTACTTCAGATGGAAAGAAGATATTTGTGCTTTTATTGAGAAACACTGGACTTTCTTATTAGGAAACAGGTAAAGATACGCTGTGTCCTGGAAGCTTTGCTTGGTGAGCTGAATGAATTAAAAGCTGGTATACAGGTGGCAACGTGAGCCCTGGTTAGTTAGGGGATGTCTCTGTTGAGTCTAGCTAGCCAGAAAATTGAAGTATTTAGTACTAAGAACCTGAATATAGGCATGAGGGGCAATCTTGAGGAAAAAATAAGCATTTCTCAATGTGAAGGGGAAAAAAAGCAAAATAAAAAATGTAGCCGTGTAGCTGCATATGTTTTGGAGTTATTTCTTCATTTAAATACTGTATGAACCCACAAAGCTTTTCAGTCTGACTAAATTTTCACAGCGGATGGGCTAATCCTGGTGTCATCTGTCTGGACTTGAAAGAAAGAGCTTCAGCAAAGTACTTTGTTCCTCAGCTCCAAAGTTTGTATGATCAAGTTCACGACAAAGGGAAGCTGGGCTTTGTCTTCTAGTTTGTTTTGGATCTTAATAAAATAGCTCTTAATAGGTATTGCACAGTACGGTAAATTCTTTCTCACTCAGTGTGTACTGAAGAGGAAGCTGTTAGAATGAGAACCCTTCTCATACATGGTAACTTGTGACAGTGTCTTGTGCCTTGCATAAGTGAATGTTGTGTTATTTTCTAAGCATACTGTCACTGTCAAAATCAAATGTCACTGTTAATGCATGTGCTATGGAGGCAGGATAGGAGTTGAGCAAGCCTATGAAGTTGTGTATTTATTGGTTTCACAGACTT